CTATTAAAAGGACGATGCATGTAATCTCCGTCATCGGAACTATTTGTGTTTGCTTTAACTGTGGGCCAGCAAATTAGAATTCTACACCTATAATCCTAAGAGACGAGGGGTGTATAAGTACAACTTGTATTAGGGCTTCTCCTTCCCCCTACAGCTAGCGGCGCCGCGCCGCACCGGGAAAAGCCCGCCATCCGCCTCCAGCCGCCAACAGCAAAGGATCCCCCGTCCCGCCGCCGCGCCGAGGGCAACGCACGGCGGCGGCAGCGACAATTCTCCTCAGCCGACCATTGGATCTGGGTGGCAACGGTCCACTCCGGCCATATGCGACGGTGAGATCTCCGCGACGTCGGCTAGGGCACCCGATCTAGGCCCAAATGGGCTTCAACGGGCCACACGTCAGGCTCTCCTCATGCATCTCCTCTGATCCGGCGACGGCAAGCGGCTTCTGGACTAGACCTGCAACACAAGGACGTCGAGGGCTCCGACCCTGGGCGTGATGGTGGTGGTCATCTCCTTCGCCAGAGGTGGTTGGCCGACTGTGGCAAGTCGCATCCGGTCCTGACATCGAGTGGGGAGGCGATGGTGCCAGTGAAAACCGTCCTATGACTTCGGTCATGGCGGGCGATGGTTGCGTTTTTGCGTCATTATCTTGTTGAAGACATTACCACTGCAGCTATCGTCGACTTCCTTGCGCTGCTCCTGGTGAAAACCTAGACCCGGGTTTCCCGAATCTGACAATGGCGGCTATTTACTCGTCGCTCTCCCTCATGGGGGCATCTTTTTTGGAGCAGCTGTCGGGTGGGGTAGACAAGTGGTGGAGCGATGTTTCATTTACCGCATCAAAGACGACGTATCTCGGCGGGGTGGCGCAGCAGGGTCTCGATGATGGATGTGTTATGATGGACGCACGTGGGAAGGTATCGTTTTCTGGCGCCATGGTGGCACCGACGGCGAGCCTGGCAAGGTCGATGTTGAGCTTCGTGTGATGTCTGTTTGGTATTCGACTTAGACAATTGCCATCCCTTCATCAACTAGATAGGAGAAGTGACAGATGTTGCCAAGATGGTGTCTTCAGACTTACTGTTGTATTACTTTATATTGTCTTTGTGAATAATTAATAAAATGGATGCATGGATTGCCCAGATGCACAGACCGGGGGTCATCCTCCTTTTCGAATAAAAATCTCCAACGCTGGGTCCACAGACACGGGAGACAAGTCTATGGACACGAATATCGAAGCCGGCCATCCAACGCTAAATGCATACTCCCTCCGTCCTTTAAAGAGTGTACTTCCAATTTTGTTGGAGAGTCAAACTATCTCAATGTTTGACCAAGTTTTTGCAAAAATATATCAATGTTTACGAAACCAAATAGGTATATGATGAAAATATATTTTATCATGAATCTAATGCTACTAATTTGATGGCATAAATGTTGGTGCATTATTGTATAAATACGGTCAAACATAAAAAGGTTTGACTTTCCAACAAAGTTGGAAGTACACTCTTCAAAGGACGGAGGGAGTATATTTCATCAAACACGATATAATTCATCAAAGTTTGGATAGGAAATAGCACAAATCATCTATACATAGGATATAAATAAGTCTAGTATAACAATACTTCAAATTCAGTGAGTAATAGTTCAAATTCAACTAGATTAACCGGATGTCGAACAAGTTTTTTCATGAACAGATCATGTC